AAATACCACTGGGCTACGAGAACTTCATCAATCAATCAGAATGCTGCTTAAACTCTTCTGCACTTATTGTTTTAATCGTGTAATTATATCAGATGATCAATACATGAACACGCGTGCATATTTAATTAGTTTCCCAATATACGCTATACAATTTTCGAAGGAACTGAAGAAAAAAATTACAGAATTGTTTGTCTCCTCATATGCGGCAACACTACGAAAAATGATGTACTTCCGATTATTGCTTTACATGTAAATCCTGTATGAAGATGAAATATTTTGGAACTAAATACTCTGAAAATGTCTGTAATACATGTTCACATATTGTCTGAAATAAAGCTCTACTATTAGTATTAAGGCTGTATGCTGCTAGATGGTTGAGATGAGCAGTTGTGTACGACTCACACCAACCAGTAGTGTTTGCTAGGCATCCACATTGAATTGATCTAAACACTAAACGGCCGTCTCACTCCTTTGCTGTCAAGCTTATCAGTGGTTTACCAGGCTGGAGATGAATCACTTCAAACTAAGTAAGCACTACTGACTCATATGGGTAGTATACAAGTGCTCATCTCAATCAGTCAGTGGTATAGAGCTTCAAGCATTTACACTTGGTTTATTCATAACTATTTTGCCGTATCAAGTAGGCCTGAATAATCTCGGTTTCCAAAAGGAATCCGTGGTTGAACAATCACCTTGAAGTGTCTGAATCGCAAATTCGACTTATGATATCAGCAGTTCACCTTAGTAGCTAACCAGAATCGGCTGTCTGAGCTGACACTGATGATGATCTCGGCTTCAAACGAGTGAAACGACCGTCTGGGAGATGGCTAAACCCTGATTCCAAACCTCCAACGACTGGCGTATGAAGCTCACTGGAGCTCACCGGCAGACGTATGGACAAAGGGCTTGTTGGATGTCCTGGATGTCTGGCCCCATTCAAAAAGGCGTATGAACCGAACTCCGGTCACCGGCTGCCAATGGATAGTGGACTTCCTACTCCACTCCTACTGCCTTGTAGGTCACACTTGGTTGTGTAAAGGCTAGAGTTCTACTCTCAAACAAAAGGCCGAGTGGTTCTGGGGACATCACTCGTACCAAATTCCCATGAAACTTCGTAAACTCTCTTCATCAGATCGCTGCGCCTGGGTAGCGATGATTTGAAAAGTTCATGAAGCCGGCTCATCCTTCCGTAGGAGATAGCCGAAGCAAAGTAAGTAAAGTAAGTAAGTTTAGATCACCTCTAGCTGGCTGGCTAGCAAGCACTGCTGGTTGATGTCAGTGGTGTACAACTACTCATCTCAGTAAATCAGTAGTAGTACACAGTTTTATGACTTCCTAGTCCTTTAACAAAAAAACTCACTAACTGTCATTATTATAAAATCCAATCATATAAATTATTTATTCAGTTTTTAATGTCAGTTGTCACGTCTTTTTCAACTGTCATAAGGATTAGCCTAATACATTAATTATTGAAAGCGTTACAGTTTTCTGCATACATGCCATTCATAATCTCAGCTTTAAATTTTTATCTATCTATCTACTCCCTAAATCATGACATTTTTGTGACTATAGATCTCAGCGTATTCATCTGCAGAGTTCTGCTGAATTCACTGAACCCATTTTGTCCTAATTTCTTTTTATCTATGGTACTTTATTTAAATGAGACTTTCAACAGTAGTTAGTTGAATATTCTCGTTGTTAATATTACAACGAGATACATAAGTGAGCACTGTTATTTTCCCTTAGATCTTCTTCATGCTATACTGTAATTTACATGGTGGTGGGTTTGTGGATCAGATTATATTAATAATAATAATGTGTTAAATATTGTGAACGTCAGTAATAACGATGATAATAATGATAATAAGGTTTATGCAGGTGGCTATAAGAATAATCAAGGTAGTGGTATGTGTATATGTAGATAATTCAATAAATAAATTAGGTCAAATCCTTAATGTTACGTAATACCAAAGGTGAAGTGAACAGATAATTCGAGTTTAAATAAATAGTATAAAAGTATGAAGGAAATGGAAAATAAGAAACAGTGGGAGGGCTCTAAATAGAATTTACCTAGGCCAGGCAAGGGAGAGGCGAAGGTAGAACAAACTTCTTTTGTATGCAAGGGATAGGGTTTTTCTCTTTAATTCCCATGGCGGGTTAGAATTCTTTTCAAAAGGCTCGATGGAATGAGATAGATAACTTTGAAGGCACATCTTCTGTCTACTTGGTGATCGCTATCAATCAAATCAGAACTTCTTATAGATTTTACTTAGCCTTTTCTGAACCATGAAGGAAGATGCTTAGTAATACGTTAGTTGAGCTGTCTAGATGTTCGCCCTATATAGCTTTCTCCGCATGAGCAGCGACATTTGTAAATACACATAGAAGTGGCATAGCTAGGTAGCCTGTCTTTCTCCTGAGCAATCATAGTTGATCAGCATCTGAAAAATGACAAACAAAGGGTGGCGGCAGTATAAGTCCGTTTTATCGCTCTAGATAATATTGGATGTAGGACTTCACTAACCACGTCCCCACTGAATTGCGGTTTCCCGACCGCCTCATCCAAACCGGCCAGAAAGCTGGCATCTTTCGACTGGTCGATAAATTGCCGAAAGCATCCACGTACTGAATACTCCAAACACCAAAGGCTATTGCAGTTCGCCTAAAACAACCGGTTCTCTGTGTACAGAAGAAACATGTCCAACCACTATTACTGCCCTGGCCTGCTGTGGAGTCTGGAAATTCAGAAATACCTTATTACGTTGACCTTTTTCGACATGGCCCTCCATCCTGTACTTACAAATATCCTTACCCCTCGTTATTACACTTGCATTAAATAACCTTTTTTTCCTATGTAAACGTAGATGCATGTGAAAACTATATTTGTAAAATCTCAGCGAAACTGGAATGAGTAATTCCAACGTTTCGTTCATCAAACTGGTCCGAACTTCTTCAAGGACATTAATCGAAATTGAAATAACAGAGGTTTATATTATAAAAAATGACAACTCTTGTTTTTTAAAAAGTTTGTTCAGTCATATGAGTCATGAAACAGGCATCAAAATGAAATAAACGAAATTGCATGAATTGTGGTCAAAATTTGACCTCAGATATACAAATATTATCAAGTATTAGTTTGTAGAGATTTTGTTTGATTGGTTGGAGGATTTCGTCCTGAGTTGACATCGGTTAGAGAACCATTGGAAAACCTGGGAGTACTGAACAGCTGTTTCGCTCTAGTTTGAGCCTGCTTAACTCCACCTCAACCTGTAGCCTACAGTTCGTCACCTCGTTCTAGAATGCAAAGTCTTCGTACATCACTTTTACAACAACATCCTTCACAATCTGAGGAACAAGATTTGTAGGAAGATTCAAGAGGTCGATAGTCAAAGAAAAAACACCTTTTATTGAATCACGTTTGTTGGAATTCGATGGCATGGATTTTAAACAGACCATACACAAGCATGGGAGCAATAAAACCAGGTTGCGCTCAAATTAACTGGTGGATAGCATTGGTGCAGTTAAACTAGGACCAGTTGTCCAACCGGTGAAACTATCAAGCTATTTATATGATGCACGTAAACGCGACGTTTTATCAAGTGATAAAAGCATATTATCATTTATAGACTGTAAATTCTCCTTCATGTTGTTCAGATGATATATGCGATACAGGTTCTTGATCACATTTTATATAAGATTCCTCAATTTCAGAGTCTGATTTCATTATATAAAGCCTGTGACGCAAATATAATGGTTCTAACAAAGTTACCTGACAACTAATTAGACTAAGTTTATAATGCTTAACTAATAATGACCAATGATAATAAACCAAGTCATTTCAAATGAACCTTGTATCCTAACTGAGACACTCTTATGCCAATCCATACGACTGTACATGATTCGGAATGTTTAAAATATTTTGATCATGTGTTGGTCTGCAGGGATTTGATTGGTTACAGGTTTGATAATGAGCTGACATCTCGTCCCAAACTAGGACGACAGAGATGTCCAGTATTCCTAGGTTTTCCAGCGGTTGTCTAACTTATGTCAGCTCGTGGCCAATCCTTTAGAACATTTATTCGGGATTTAATATCAAAACCGACAATAGATGAAATATAAAGTCGTTGAAGAAGACGGTGGAGAAAACGATAGCGAGCGAGATGTCAAAGGAATAGGTGATGTTGAAGATGTTGAGCAAGACGACATCTATAACGAGGATGATATTTTGGAAGACGATGTGGTAGCTCAAATCGCTATGGAAAGTAAAGGTGCTGATTCAAAGCCTACCCTTCTAAAACCAGTTTTCCATCATAAGAGTGAAAAATGACTCCAAGTGTTCCTGTCGTCACTGCCAGGAAAGGCTACTACAAAAACTGCCGCTGAGGATGGTAAGCAGAGTAGCGCTGCGTCAGAATGAACGGCCCTGGTAATTTGGATAGTTTAATAGAGCTTCTTTCACAGATAAGTACTCTTACCAACGTAGATCAGATGAAGCCCGCACCCATACCAGATACAGTGGCGAAATTGAAGAGTTTGAAGAAGCAGCTAAAGTCTGTACAGCCAAGGTTCCAAGGATAGAAGCTCAAGGTGATGCCTACGGACAAATCAGATGGTGATAAGTCAGCTTCAAATCTGTTTGTTTGTAGGATTTATGAGCACTTGACAACGTCGTTGACTGGGTTATGAATGTTTCATGGATAGTTTCTATTACTTGTGAAGAAACTGACGTCCTTATAAGGTACCTGACATATTGGTTTAATTATTGATAGAACTATAGTTTCTAGTCGTTGAATAGCTCCTTCAGCAACTATCCATGATACAGGTGATCCTGTCAGCACCTGTTCGTACACTGAACTTTATTAAAGAGAACATTTTGAGGATTTTCAAGTTAACCAGTTTCAAGTATGTTTTTACTAACTGTTGAACTAACCGCCTTAACTGCAAATTTTATTTACTTTTCTGAATGTAAAATATTTTGTTCTTTTTGTAAATTCCTTCAGGCGATCTATATCCTCGACATCGACAGATATTTGAACAAAGTAAATATTTTTCTGGTATACAAGTCCCATCTTCATCGTCTGTAGTAAGTTTATGGAAGTTTCATACAATTTATGATTTTTAATTATTTCCACTTAGCGCTGAAAGGGAAGATAGTTAATTACACTTTGAGTTAGCACTATCTAGCAAGTAACTAGTGTCATGTGTCTAGTCCCTTCTGTGGTACAGACTCAATTCTATCAGTCAAGTTAGATAGAATTCATTCTGCACCAAAGAAAGGATTAGACATATTACACTAGTCATTAGCTGGTGTCCAATTAAAGAATCCAATACATTCCTACAGAAGGTGAGTCGCAAGCTGAAATAGCTCAGTGTTAGCGTCTCTGACTGCAGCACTGAGTAGATGACATGAGTTATTTAAGCAATGCAGATGTACCCTACTGATTGGCGAGTACCAGCAAGCACGACACCTAGGTCCAAGGCATCCTGGTGATTGCCTCCAACCGTCTAATAACAGTAGCTAATTATATTTTACATATACTGTCTTTTTGATAGGATAAATCATTGTGTTTAAGAAATGTATTTATTATAGAAGCCCAGAAATATGAGAAATAGTCACGACTAGAAATTATCACACGATATATTTTGTCAGCGTTAATTTAATACCCATGAAAAGCTGACCTTAAAATCATGATGTGTGGAAATATTTCAGCCGAACATATAACTTTATCTCCACTAAAATTTTAGTTATGAAACTTTGTGTCTTTATTTAAACTTGAATGCTTTTCACTTTCGGATTGTTGTTTGAAAACTGGTGAGCTATATCCACCATCTTGGTTTTAAACAAACCCCAATCTTTATCGGATGTTGCGAAAAGAGGTTTGAGTTGGTCATACGAGTATTCGAACTCAGCGTGGACAGCTAAATCCGTAAATTGCATACGAGGAACACAAAATTTCAAGATAGAGGGATAAAACTTCATAGAAGAGAGAAGACGGAGGTGATGAAGATTACCGACTACCACCAGCAGTAACAGTAACCAACACCAGTCACCATGGACGGAAGAGATTTGACAGAGGTTACTTCCTTCCCTTATCTGGGAAGCATGGTTTCAACCACAGGCGGATGACACGAGAATCGGAAAGGCCAGATACGCCTTCATCAACCTGAAACCAGTTTGCAAATCTTCTGCTGCCACTCAGCCAGCATAAAGAACATGATCCGGATTTTCAACACCAATGTCAAGTTGGTCCTTCTATACAGGTCAGAAACTTGGCGTGTAACGGAAAGGATTTCCAACAGGTTGAAGACTTTCATCAACAGCTACCATCTTCGCTGGCTCCATACTGAAGATCAAATGGCTGGCCAACTGACTGGAAAGAATTAGCAACAAGAAACTCTGGCCGACAGTGAACCCACCAAGAGCCGATTTTTCAACAAATATGTAGGGGTAAATGGAGATACATTGGGCATACGTTGAGGACACCGTCACATGACAGTGCACGCAGTGTAGGCCATCACTCGAGTGGAATCCAGATGGTAAGCGACGAGTGGCTAGTTAGTGCGAGAGTGACATGAAGCAGATCGTGTGGCGAAGAGGAGATGAGAGATTATGGTAAATTATAGAGCTAGCCAGCTGAAGAGAACAGCAGAGAATAGAAGAATGTGGAGATTGTTGTTGAAGTCCTATGTCCCACTCAGAACCCAAGGGAGTAATATCAGCTTTAGTATCATTATTTTCCTAGGTTCTAGTGGAAAATAATGCTTCGAGCAATCGAACTTCTTGTTTTGCATATTATATATTTCTCCTCCCCCACATGATCTACTCCAAGTCACCCTTGAGCTTCCATTCTTCGTTCCAGAGTTTCTTGTTGCATTCTTTCTAGTAGGTCGTCTGATCTTCACTATAGAGCTAATGAAGTCAACCACCGGTAAAATTGTACAGTAGCCTGTTAGAAGTGCTTTGGTATGCACAACATCTTGTCTCAATGAAAGAAATGACTTAACAAGTTACTGAAAATGCTTGTATTAGCATCAGAAGAGAGAACAGGGTGCACTGTTAGAAATCGTTTCATTTTTCGATGATCAGGTATAAAGATTACTTTCGTTTACACTGTTCTAAGTGTAAACTAGCTCAAATTCATTGTAAACCCATCGTTTGATTTTAAATAACATTATGTGAATTCATTGTAAATTTTCATTTTTTTTCGTATTTAGGAACCATTAGAGAAGAGATTCGAGAGGACATATCCCATGACACTAAGTCAAAAAGAACTGGATTTCCTGCAAGTAAGTATTACGCCCTATTTTATACATTTGGTTCCCTTGATAAGTTTCAATAAAGACTTGCAGTATAAAAAAATAACATCATTCTATTTCACAGGTTCTCATCAGATAACTGCAAACTAACTGAAATTAAATAGATTATAAATAATGACAATAACATACTTCAATGTCTGAATAGTAGTATAGAAAATATTATAAAACTACCGCATCCTAAATATAAGCATTACAATTTTGAGTTTAAGTTATCATGAATTCACATGTTTTCAAAATAAGAAAGGAGGGGGAAGATAGGAGAAGACAGAAAACAGAAAAATCTAAAGTACAGTGTTAACTTGTAATTTTACATAGCAATTCAAGAAGATAATAGTTCATAAGATTGAAAACTTGCTGGGTGAGTTGAAATCACTAATTATCGATGACTAATCTACGTAAAATGCAGTTACCTAGGGAGTGAGTGAGTGATTACACTGTCTTTCTGTATGCATAAGTTTGATTTGAAACGTTTGGCTGCAACTGCTTCCGCAAATCACAGTAAATTTTCTGTCCTTCCCTACTAACACCGATGATATCCCTAATTATGGTGATCTGGATCATGTAGGGAGCTAGAAGATAGGAAGACGTTGAACCGATAAGGAGACCCAAGAAGATCTAGACTTCGTTGAGGAATTAATCCTAATTATGGGCTGCGACGAAGTTGATAGAAGAAGCAACAAATACGGGACTTCAGGGGAACATAGAGAAGACGGAAGTGATGAAGATAGCCAACCAACTACAAAGAGCACCAATCACTATCAAAAAGTAAATTAAAAAGAGGCCACTTCTTCATCTATCCAGACAGAATCGTTCTAACTACAGGTAGATGGCTTGGATAAAGATAGCAAAACCAGAATTGGAAAGACAAGTCAGACCTTCATCACGCTGAAATCCATTTGAAAATCTTCTGCACTCAGCACAGACAAAAGAATTTGGATTTTTAATTCAAAATTATTTCCAAAAGGTTACTGCAGAATTATGCCAATATCTGTCTTCGCTGTCTGCATAGTTAAGATCAAATGGCCATCCAGAAAGAATGAGTGACAGGGAACTCTGGAAATGAACCAGTCAAGAACACAGTGCTCAACAAATACTCCGAAGAAAAAGGAAGTGGATTGGATACAGCCTGAGGCGACCATCGGGTGATATCCCACACCAGGTAGTCGTGTGGAAACGATGAGTTGGGAGTGACTCCGAGGATATGAGGAGGAGATAAGAGTTTATGGATAATCGTGGGATCAGATGAGGACGAACAGAACAAAATAGCGAAGTGTCTTATGTTCCATTCGGAACCCAAGGGAGTAATGACAATACTGCTGAAAAGCCGGGTGGTTTAAATTATCCTATCATATCAGCTGAATCCATTATGAGCTACTGAGCGACTACTCTAAACAGTGAGCAATATTGGCTTATGAAAGAGGTTATTATCTGTTCATATCAGTCAGAAGTCTACAGTGTAAAGCATTCATGCTTGTTATGAATCAAACAGGAAACTGTTATAGAATTCAGCATCACAGTGTTTAGTTCATCGGCACCTGTTTCCATTCTAAATTGTATTACGACAGTGTATACTCTGTGGTGAAGTCACATTGAAACGTTTTTCAAGTATTAGCTCTCAGGGATCTGACTGTTTACCGAATTTCGATCACTAGGTGACTTTAGTTAGAGAACCATTGGGTAACCATGGAGTATTCGACAGCTGTTTCGTCCTTGTTTGGGACTCTTCATTTGTGCACACTTGTGACCCCACCCAGCAGGGATTCGAACCAGAACCTTCCATTTACAAGGTGAGCTTGTAAATCATTCAGCTACTGGGATGGGATCCAATGGAGAACATGCTTTTAAATTCAAAGTAAAAATGACACACTTATATAAAAACTGACAATCCGCAAACTAGCCAGCAGTTTGTAGTGTACGTGGTTCAGAGGGTGGGTGGAATTTTCACTGCGGTTTCCTTTCAAAAAACCAAATTATTCAGACTAAAATATGTGATCTCTGAGGTAAGTCAAAGCTGACAGACCACTGATGAGCAAGTGAAATGGCCCCTTTCACTGTGTTGAGACCACCTCAGTTTGGTTGGCAAGCGCTACTTGTTGATATGATTGGTGCACACCTACTCATCTCAACCAGTTAGTAGTATATAGTTTCGTACAAATAATATCTGTATATGAGAACAGTTGGAGTGAAACGAATGAATAGTGAGTAGGCATATTCTACGAAAAATTAGTGATAAATTGTCAATGAAAGATAGAAGAAGGCGTAAGGCAGAACTCATCTTCCTAATAAGAATAAGTGTCTATAGATGTAAAATGCCGTCAATATAAAACCTGAATTCGTTACTAAACAAACAAAGCGAATTATATGAAAAACATAAAATGATATAAACTTCACAGTAAGTTGGCGACATGCATTTCACATCACGCAATAATTTTTCTTTTTTCATTCTGACCCAAGAACTTCAAATTATATCAGGCGCCAAGTTTCTATGAATCACTTGCTAGTTTTCCTTTTACTTGTATCTATCTATCTATCCATATAATTCAGTTACAGTATGTTTCGAAAATCTGATAACTCGAATGTTTCTCATAAATATGAATCATACGAAACTATGTACATAAGTATTTTAAAATTCCAATTGTCAGATTTCCGTGACGAATCAGAATCAATTAGAGAGAGGATTGAAAGGCAAAAAGAACTGGACAGCCAGCTGTTTTGTTCTATTTCGGGACTCTTTAACAGTGAACCCATTGATTTGGATTGAACCTGGGACAATCAGGTTACGAAACCCAGCAAACTGACCATTCAACCATATGGGCTAGAATTCAATAACCCGTGAATTCTAACCAGTGCCTTCGATGGACATCGACTTCATCTTGACATGGTGTAACCCCCTAGTCACGAGCTCCGACCGCATCTTCGTCACGAGCCAAGATAACGTTTCATAGGTTATTGAATTCTTGGCCTAAGTTGCTGAATGGTCAGCGACCTTGGCTTCATAACCTGAAGTTCTCTGGATCTATCCCTGAAGGTAGGGTCGTAGGTTTGCACTGATGAAGAGTCCTAAAATAGGACAAAACAGTTGACTGTTCAATGCTTCTTGGTTTTCAATGATCTCTCTAACTGATGTTTTTTCGTGACTAAAATCTAACAATTGAAAATAATTCAAAATCCCCACAAATCCGAATTATTACCCATATGTAATGTACGCAATTTTATTTATTTAGTGGAAGAATAGTTGAATGAATCAGCATAACGTTTCATACTTTACTAATGCACTATTCTAATGTCTCTACATTTACTAAAACAAAATAATGTTACTGCTCTGTTTGTTTTTGTTATTAGGCATGTGTACGAATGGATCCTTCAGAACGATGGAGTTGTGCTGAATTGTTGAAACACCCATACTTTGGAATGCATAGTTTCTCTGAAAAGAATAATAAATTACCGTGTAAAATTCAAGGTAATTCGCTATTGATATTAGCAAATAAGTCAGAAATGTTGTCAGTTATTATGATTTTCATAATATCCGTAAGTGAAGAATGACTTTCGAATCATCCATTACACCTGATTCAGCCTAATGATGGCAAGTTTTTTTTATCAAAGCTTATCAGTCAGAATTCAAATGGAACCACTAGGCTAACCAACACTGTGACGTGCCCTACTGACAAGATTTTTAAGTAGTATATACATGCAGACATAAATATGTATATCATTTGAAAGAATGTTGAATAACGGAGACACAGATTTAGTGGAGAAGAGAAGAAATCAACGATTCTTGTGAAACAGCACAGGAAACATGAAAGGAAGACAAAAGAAGCAGAATACAGAGGTCATGTGCAAACTGTGATTATAATATATGGTAGATATATTTTGCCCAGATCAGTTGCCAGTAAACAATTCAGTTGACTTATATCTTGTGTTCTGTCATTACATTTTGTCAGACGTGGTCCTTTAGAAACTTCTAGGAGGAGTAACCACTCACCGAAGTGAGGATACTTCATATACTGTGTACAGAGTAACCGTCTCCAATTTCCAACCTCTATGGAACATCCCCAAAACAACCAACTTCGTCGTTAGTTCCTGAACGCCCACCAACTCAGCAACGATATCAAGATCTTACAAGAGAAGCTTCATATGCCTCCTTCTTCGAAAGATTCAGGCCATGGGATCTTCATTTGTCCGAAGGCAGCGACACCAAATGTAACGACAGGAGACAAGAGCATTTGGTAACAGAATTATTTACTGGCAACTGGATGCACAGATATAGACAGATTGATTTATCATATAATAAAATCACAGTTTGTGCATGTCCTCCGTATTATGCTGCTTTTGTTTTCCTTTCGTGTTTTCTATGTTGTTTCACAAGCATCGTTTAACTCTTCTTTTCACCATTAAGTTCATCTCTCCGCTGTTCGATATTCTTGACGGTGATATACATATTTATATCTGTGTTTATATACTACTGAAAAATCTTGTTAGTAGCACACGCCACAGTACAACTCTTTAGTGTACTATGCTTTACAAAGATTCTGTCGTTACTGTAAGGCTAACAACGAAAAGATGTATCTAGCTCTACCGCGTTTAATCTTACTATTACAAAAATATGCATAAACCTTATCTATTTTTACAGGAAATAACTGATTTAATTACTTCTTTTCATTTGAAATCTACTCACACTGACTGGGTTTCGTAACTCAGGTTGTGGAAGACTTAATGAGTATTGAGAAGCTATTTACTCGGTCCATGATCACAGTTTAGCTTGAAAACCATGGAGTAATAGAGAGCTGTTTCGTCCTAGTTTGGGACCCATCAGTAGAATGCACCCTCCGGCGTTCAAACCCAGGACTTTCCTGCTACAAGAAAAGCTCGTAAACTATCCAGCCACTGGAACTGGTCTAACAGTCCATGAGTTCCAGCTCGTACCAATTTTATGATGTTAGTGGGGCCACCAGCCAATTTCATAGGCGACTCACTAGTCATGACTTCTCACTAGAACTTGTCCTATAGCCAGCCACTAGTGAGCATCAGATTAACTTTCAAGATTTGGCTTTTGGGGATTTGAGTGAATTATTAAAACACCCATACTTCAGAATTCACAGTCTCTCTGAAGAGAACAATTAGTCAGTGAAATTACAAAGTAAGTGAAAAAATGTTGTCAGTTATCATGTTCATAAGTGAATGATGACAATCACACGCTGAAATCATGAAGTGGTAGAAGATGGGATTCATGGACCATTGAACTGGGTCCCAATGACTGAATACTCTACGAGCTTGTCTTGAAACTGAAAGGTCCCGGGTTCGAAACTTGTTGGTCTTGTATTATAATGGCAGAAGATAAATGAAGTGGTAAAGGAGTATTTTATTAAGGAAAACACGCCATATTTATACAGTTATACACATTAAAAGTCGGTTAGGTCAGCGGACAATGAACAGTTCTGATTGTTTGTCAATATGACGAAGGTTAAACAATCGAACAAAAAGTCATTCAATGAGGTTAATTCAAGACCACAACGTAAACTAAATCCAAATTTAAGGAATAAACACTTCTACCTTTGCAGCTATTGAGTTAAAACGTTGATTTCGATTTTTGGTCGCTTCCTATTAACTTACATTTATGTAGCGCACACCAAATTTTTTAGCCGTAGTAAATTTAAAACAAACAAGTACTGTGAGAAAAGCAGTATTTAATGAATTCATAAATTTTGGAGGGACTCGTCAGCTGAATACTCTGCAAACGTTATTTATATAATCTTTTAAGGTTAAATACATACAAACACGTGAACATTGTGACAATAAATAAGTATCAACTTCAACAAATATGTGATCTATAAGTGGTGTGTGGTTTTCTATCAACGTTGTTATTGAGTGAATAATATTCTTGGAGTACTGGACAGCTAATTCTCCCTAGATTGGCACTCTTCCGAAGTACGCATACATTGCAGTTCGAACGCGGGACTTTCTGGTTACAAGGCCGGCTTGTAGACCATTTAACCACTGGGACTCGATTTAATGACCCATGAGATAGCTGTCCACTACTCCCAGGTATTCCAATGGTTCTCTAACTAATTTCAACTCGTGACCAATCAAATCCCTGTAAACCAACACTTGATATTGAATACTATTCATCAAAGCACTTATTAACAAATAAACTGGAGTTATTGTGTCAGAATTCATACCATTTTAAAATCTTGATTTGATAATATTGAAATCCAAGGATACTTTGCATAAAACAGAAATAAACAGACTTAATCTATGCTCGTACAACCAAGTACAGGAACTTAACGATACCATACTTGGCCCGTGTTCTAAGCGACAGAGACAACGTTAAGCGTGAAACCTATGACTTGCTTTGTTATTAACAACATAATTTAGGCTATTTTATTTCTCTCTTATTTTGTATTCTTTAGTGAACTCCTTCTTCAAACATACTCAGCTACCTAAAATATTAACATTGGCTTCCTTTTTTGTACTTTACCATATTCCTTCTATTGTGTATCCACTGGTTCCGACTCTATTAGCACTATGAGTATTACAAAATTGTCCTGTCATTAACCATCATGTAACTATTAGTTTTGTGGCTGTTTTTTCTTATTTTCTATACTTTTCGGCAATATTAAACTGACAATCATTGGTTGTGAACGCCATAGTCACCACCTTAAAAAATTTTGTATTATGCAGGATTACTCACACTACCACTACAAACACTGCATTAGACCTGACAATAAAAAACAAAACAACAACCCTGAAATGTTATTTTATGATTGTTTAGTGTTGTTTCAATCAAATTAACTGACCATCTAGGTGATAAACATTCTTAAATGTCATTTCATAACTTCTTGTATGACTATAGCTTTACTGTCACCATGCATAATCATATCATAGCTTCCATTACCCAATACTGAGTTATTATTATATGATGTTTATTTTCCTTTCTACTTCTTGGTATTTTTTCGCATTTATAATTATTTTGTGTTTATCCTGTCTTTTTTGCTGTTGGTGACTTTAGATTTTTTTTTTGTTTGTTTAATACTCCTTTTAAATGTTTGTAAAATTAGATGCAAATATTGTAGATATGTGCTGAAAATTCCACACTGTACCACTAGTACTGTTTCTGGAATGTAGCAAATTATTATTATTATTAACAGATGTCAACCATATAGGACGAAATAAGAAGATTTTAACATATCTGATCTGAATTCATAAACGCTCCTCAACGAGATTAATACTCATCTATGATTATCGATTTACACGTGTTCTAAGAAAACTTACGTTGTGCCACATAAAATAATAATATGAATACTACTACCTCGCGTCGGTGGCACAGTGGTTAGGAATCTCGCCGACCATGCACATGGTCCGGGGTTCGATCCCCTGCCGACGCACACCCGATATCTATGGTCGGTGTGCAAAATTTGGGCTACCGATATCCATGCTGAAAATTCCATACTTGTACTGAAAATACGGTGTGGCATCAAGCTGTAATCAAAAATAAAATAGTAATAATAATGAAAAAAACATTGTAAAGAGAAGAGGAAAGGGAAGGTAGATTTCAGCTAAATACACTGTCTCCTTCTGTACACATAGATCCGTCTTCTTTAATCTGATTGCTCAGGCTTCATTAAAACCAAAGGCTTTTTTTACTACCTTGCTTACTAACAACTATAAACCCTGCACAACATCACTGCATAATCAGAGTCCAATAAATGCTTTGTGATTGAGCTCCTTGAGATGTCATCATGAGTACTAGAAAGCCATCTGAGGCAGTGTTCGGTAACATAAACCGACAGACACCTTTTCATACAGCTAATGTATTTGCTTCCACAAACTGATATACACATTTTGATATGGCGAGGATCGATGTCTTATCCCCATTGTAGTATTCATGAGTAGCATATTAGTTTCATAACTGGTTCGTTAAATTGCCTTCTCCAAACGACTTTTCATCAAATAAGTGAGAAAGTAACTTCTTTGACCAAACCTCCATCATAGAAACACTCTCTGATATTATTATCTATCTTTTTGCATACGTTTACGCAACACCAAAATTAAATAAATATCGAGGCTTGAGCAATAGGATTTAATTAGTAGCTAATATATTTCCCACCTATGTTGCATAGTACGTCTCATAAGTTAATTTCTCTTTCCTGTATACTTTCAGTATTCAAAAATTTGCTTAGGTTTAATACTGCTGTCTTACTTCCTCTGTAAAACAAAAAGTGTCTATTAACCATGGTATTCTAAGATTTATAGTATGCATAATTGTACTATGCTAGACAAGTTAGCATCAATTGCATCACTAGACCATTACTGTATAAATACAACAACATACAAACATATATAATGACTAGATAGATATTTCAATGATAAGCTAATCCCATACTTAGTATTAACAACAAAACAATGAAAAAAACGACTTTTCTAGGCGGAAGCAAAAAAACAACAACAACAACACTTCACTGT